GTGGTTTCTGTTCAATGGAAAGTGGTATTGGCTCCTCTGCCTTTCCTGTTTTAATATGGTTCTGCCCTCAGTGGGTGTTGACACTCTGTAGTGCCCGGGGTCCCTCTTTGAGAACTCTGGAGCCCGTTCTCATCCCATCCCTTCAATATGGCTGTTTCTAAGATGACCCGAGAGACGTCTTCCCTTTTCTTTTTCACAATCCAATTTTCTGATCCCGTGGTCTCACTCGCTGCCGGGATGGCTCACTCAGTGGTCTAGTTGTCCTCTCCAGCCACGGCCCCACCTCACAGGTCTAGTCTCGCGTTCTCTTAGCTGCATAGTTCCAGTGAACTTTGTCACCAGTTCACAGATTCCACATAATTGAAGCTTAACCCGCACTTAAATTTACTAAGTACCAAATCAGCAAGCTCAGCCCTCTTTTTTTTCAGCTCCTATATTCTACCAGCTCTGAGATTTGTCAGCTCTAATACCTGCGTTGAAGTTTCTTACCCTGTTCTTTAATTGTACTTCCAGACTGCTTTTAGAACATAAAAGCCTGTCCTTAGCAGCACGTGTGTGTGCATGTATGTATGTGTGTATGTATGTAACAACAATTAACGAAAAAGAGACCATGAATTTGAAAAACAAAACAATACAGGAGGATTTGGAGGGATGGCAGGGAAGGGGAAATAATGTAATTATATTATAATTTCAAAAAATAAAAGATATAATTAAAAAATTAACCTAACCACATTATATCCATGGTCTCTGGTACTGGACCCAAACCATACAGCTCAAATCTACCCCTGACCCTATGTCCTAAGCTTTCTCTCTCATCAGCTTCTTTTTAACAAGTGGCATCTTGCTTTTCCCTTCACAAGCCCAGGTTTTCACTTGGCATTTTGCCACATGCTTACATAATAGTATCACGACTCCCCCTCACTGCTCCTCCAAGCTTCAGGACAACTATGTGATCCAGTCTGAGCCACGAGACACAAGCAGGTGTCTATGAGATTTATGGAAGAGAGCTTGTTTTCCTGATGCAGGCTTTATCCTTTGTGCTAATACAAAAGCATAGGTGGCAAAGAGACATGAATAAGTGTTCTTACGTACATAAGAGAGAGGAATAAGATTCACAGAGACTTTCATAGCAACACCATGGAGTTATGTAATCAACACCATCAACTGCCTTCTTATATTTCTATGATAAAAAGAAGTCACACACTTCAGGTCCTATGGGAGAGGAGGAGCCGTGTGCCTTGGTGTGGTGCATCCTTTCGAGTCACCTCCTCAGCTCACCAGTTGAACACCTCACTGTCCGACTTCTAACCTGTGTGGTTCAGGTGGTCCTTTCCCTCCAGATACACCTGCTATTCCAAGCAGAGCATCTCAACTTCCACTGACCTCCCCATCAGGAACAGACATCCTCTTTACAGCCTGAATTCTTATGGGCTTGCCTTGGGTGATGGACAGAATTTTCCTGTCTGTTTGCTCTCTCAGTTCTCAGTTCCTTTCACTACTGACACCCAACAGTCTAAGGACACCACACATAGGAATTGCAGAAACCTTCAGTGACTTCCTGTTGCCATGCAGGCTACATTCAATTTCCACAAAACATAGCTTTAATTAAGAAAAAAACCAGTCTGATTCTTTTCAGTCTTTAACATGCTCTTAGCAAATGAAATGTTGCTATTCTTTTAATGAATTCTTTTCTTTTCCATGTGTATAATTTTTATAGGATTTTCAGTCGCTGGAAAATATAATATTTTGCTTAATTTTGTATATTTTCAAAAGAGAGGTCACTTACCAAGCCAGAGCTCAAATGACCTCAACCAAAGTGCCTAGTGTCTGCTTGAGGCAGTTTCTGATGCGCCCTAGGCTGGTCTTGAACTTGCTGTGTAGTCAAGGCTGTCCAGTGACACTTGAAAATGGAAGGATTTTCACTTCCCCAGTTTCTCTTTGGGTAATATACTCTGGTTGTTTGAATATACAACCAGAGTGTTCTTAGTGGGACCCCTGAGAGCATATACTTCTTGGAGGTGGCAAAAGCCAGCAAAGATGTATCAAGTTCTTACTATTCTATTACAGACCAAGTCCTCCTTCTGTGCTCTATGGGGAGAAAGGACAAACTTTATACCCGTCAAGCAAGTAAGTAAGAATTGCCTTAAGCTCTGAATGGGAAGTGAGGGATGTTTTCCTCTCACCATGACATCTGTGATGAGATCTCAGCCAATAGGAGCTGAGGACAAGACACTCCCAAGAAAGGGTAACTGTAAACGTCATTGAGCTGTGCGTGAGGGTGGTGTAGAGGTCTGGGAACACACAGAAAGTTGTGGCCTGAAGTTGGTGGGCAAAGAAGAACAGGGTGAGACGAGGTGGCAAAGAGCAACCTTAAGGGTCCAAAGGAGCCAACACAGAAGTGTGCACTTAACTCCAAGGCCTTATGACAAGACTACCATGACCTGATTTACAAAGGAAAATGATCTCTCTGGCTGTTTGGCAGAAAATGCATGAGAGCCAAGAGTAGAAACAAGATAAATTGGAAGATTGTGTGAGATAACAGTAGCTCGAATTTGGCGGCATGGGTAGGGGTGGGGAGAAAGAAGTGGATCCATTCATGGTCTCCATCGCATTCAGCAGAGTGCTGTGGACATGCCAATGCTTGGTCTATGTGCCTTGATGTATGCTCAAGACTTCAAAACAGTGTTGCATTCTTAGTTTCTGTATGTTCTTATCCCTCTTGCTTTGATCCATACCTTGTGGCTTACTATACTGCTTTGCTATTTGGAGAAACGGAGCCAGGAGAGATTTTATATTTCGGAAAAACACAGTGGCTACTGTCATGTAAAGCTACCTGATAAAGAATACAAATCATAGTGGAGGGTCAGTGTGGACATTATGCAACAAATAAACCATCTGAAACAAATGGAACAACATAGGAATCTATATCGGTGATAAAACAAAATGGGCAAATACAGACATCTCTATTATTTAAACAAAATAAAATTATAGTCGTCATGAGTTTGAGCCCAACATAGTGTGTAGCTATTAAGTAAATAGGAGATTCTCCAATAAACATTAGCTGGAATACTATGCCTACACAGAAGACACGGCATCAATTTTCATTACAATTGAAGACTTCTCCAGTTTTAATTTACTTTCCTATGAAAGTAAGGGTTCTTCCTTTGCTCTTTTTCATTTGATCTATTTCCTGATTAGTAAGCTCATCAGATATGACTACAATGGGCTGCATACACAATTCTAGAACTCTATAAATGACCTGTTTGATCTTCAGGTAGGGCTTTGAAGAGAAGAGAAGCTAAGCATGGGTTCCCATTGTCTTCGCATGCGCCACTTCGCACGCTGTGAGAAAACAAGACCCGTTCTTGCCATTTTCCACCCAAAATGCTAAATGGTGCCTGAATTGTGTGAAACTTGGCTCCAGCCAGTGTGAAAACTGGCTGAAGTCTGCACGAAAGGCTGTCTGGGTTTGTCAAAGTAGTTCGTGAACTTTGGCCAAACTTTCTCGGCTCCTAGTCCAAGGCTCTGTTTGCAATGCAACATGAAACCACGTGGATTTCAGGTGGTGTCAGGTTTCACCTTGGAAATTTGGCCTAGCTTTCTAATCAATCATCACTTTTAGTAACGATGAAAGCCAACACACCTTTCTGGGAAAGAAGACTGAGCCCTGACTGATGACAGCTAGGCTGTGAACCGCCCCTGCACTTCCTCTGCCAAAAGAACACCTCTAAGAATGGGGACTTTCCCTCAGACCTGAAGAGGCCTAGCGGAGGGATTCTGATAGTGGGTGTAGAAAGACATGATACTCAACGCAGGGAGACCAGCCGCGTGAAATATCACCACCCACAGATCAAGGGGCTCTCATCTCGTCATTAAAGGCTATGGGTTCCATTCCATTCCCACCCATGACAGTAGATATTGTGATGTTCAGTGATGGACCACTGATGAGGTTTTAGCTTGGAGGCAGATATCAACAGGATAACTGTCCTGAAAGACCTGCCTGCTGGGAGGCGTCACTGTTTCAACTCGAAGCAGCTGAAGACTAGAAAGGAAAGCAAATCCAAGCACCTTTACCCAGCTTTATGGAGCATGAGGTAAAATGAAGACACAAACCTTTTCCATCTGCATCAACTGTGTATTTTGAAAAAAAAAATGCTCTGCAGTATTCATAAATTCAATAATTAACTAAACTCAGTATATTTTACAGAGACACCTCCATAGTTTCTGTTTTCAACCTGAACATTTTAAATGTTTGTTTCCACTGTAAAAAAAAAAATTCTCTCTTCAACCAAATACTCGCTTTTGTGCATAGTGACATGAGAAAATTGAGAGGTATGTCTGAACAGAGCCACTACATCATTGGAACAGTATGTCTGAACATTCGAGTAATGAGGCACAGATGTGAACCCAAGGACTTGGCACTACCAAGGCAACAACAAAGCATTTGCCATTGGTTATGTTGGTCGAAGGGGCCACATTTGAGCAGAGAAGAAACGGCCCTCCGCCCACAGTGCTAAATGGTGTTACACCTTTTATCTGCCTTGCAAATCTGGACAAACAAGAAATCCAGACAAGTGCTATTGAAACTTACAAGGGAGAATAAATACGTAAAATGCAATAATATTTTTATCTATGCTAGAACGCAGTTATGCAATAACACGAGAAGTTTCATCAGCGGGAAATGCCAAATTCAAGAGAACACCACATGGCCTTTATGCTGCAAACCAATGTGTGCACATCTGAAGACCCCAACAGTCGCAGGAAAGGTGGCTGTTGGATGGCTCCAGGAGGCTCATTAATTGTAGAATGTTGTATTTGGAATCAAGCTATGATAATGCACAAGATAGACATATTCATTAGTAAGATACTTCTTGCTTATGGGTGGTTTGTCAACTTTTTCAGCTGTTACTAAATCATGCACTACACAAAGGGGAAGGATAGTTAGGATGTTGTGAGCTGGAAAATTATTTCCCACCCAGGACAAGAAGTGCATAACTTACCCGAGGCCCCTGATCTCCTTGTTCTCCCTGCAGAACAGCAAAACGAGATGACAGTTTTATCTACAATCCATACATGATGCTTAATTTAAAAAAAGTCTAAACACACAACACAGATCATGCCAATATCGATTTCCAGTAAATTAATTTCATTAATACATTTTCTCACCTTATCGCCTTTTGGACCAGGGGGCCCCTAGGGAAAAAAGAAAAAAAATATTAGCTTTAAAAGAACTTGAGTAAATCTACCGGGTCAAATTGAAAGATTTATGTCAAATGCAGAGAGCTGTAGTTGTCAACAGGTTTCTCAAATTTAGTTTCTAAATTATAATTGTAATATAGCTAGAAAAAGAAAACAGTGGGTGTGCATGCATGTAATACATATACATCATATGGATCAAGTGTGCTAAAGAAGTTGTGACAAACTCAGTATACCCGAGTTACACTGGCAAAGGCAGAACTGCTCTGACCTGCCTTTGCCAACAGCCTACACCAATAGCCTCTCTCTGTTCTGCTAGTAGAATCCAGCTGCCCTCCTTCTTTACCTAAAGGAAACCATGCAGCACATGCCTGGACTGTTTTGTTCAAAACCTGTGAAGTTCATTTATAATTGTGTGTGTGTAGCTGTAGACTTGTTTTTACTGCTTTATAAAATTCTATAGATGACTTATTTGTTCATCCTGCTGCAGACAGTAATTTGATTCTAGGAGTTCCTAGAGTCTTGGCTCTTGTAAATTGCTGCTAGGAATACCCTAATGTCAGGGTTTTGGTGAGACACCAGTGTGCGATTCTGTTGAGTGAGGTTAGAGAGTACATTCACTTTTACTTCGGTTAGACACTCCCTAGTTTCCTATGTTCCAGATCATCTCCAATGCTTGATACTTTCTTCTTTTCATCTTACTTGTTCTTGTAGGGTATAGTAATTTAACTTTATTTTATAGTTCCCTAGTGATAAACTATGCACTCTTTTCATATACCTATTCAATATTTTACATTCTTCTCATAAAGAATTACCAACTTTTGCCTTTGTTTCACTAAATTATTCTACTGGTCTGTTAGAATGCATTTTATAAATATTATATGCCACACATATGTATATATAGAGATTTAGAAATCTTTACATATTCTGAATGTTTTTTGTTATCTGTGTTTACTAGAAATACATATTTGCATGCTATGCTCTGATTTTACATTCTATTGAGATGCTCTTTGTTGTTTAGAAGGTGGCAGTGCTGGTACTTGAACTCAGGGCCTTGGGAATCTATGCAAATGCTCCATTACTGAGCTATATCTCCAGTCCCTATTGGGGTATCTTTAATGAACAGATGTTGCTAATTTTAATAAAAGTCAATACACCATTTTTTCTCTTTATTGTTACCCATGTAGTCAACTAAAGAAATCTGTAGCAATTGCACAGCCTGAGGAGGTCCGTCTGTTTATTCTACAAGCGAAAAGGTTTATTATTGCATCTTTCATATTTGAGTGTGACTTCATTGAGAACTGGTTTTACGGGAGGTGAAGTCAGGATGGTTTTTGTCCCCAGGTGGTTATCAAGTTAGCTGAGCACTGTTAACAGCAAATGGCATCTTTTCCCCATTGTGGTACCATGTTACCTTTCTCATAAATCAGGTGACCACATGTGTACATAATGTTTTCTCGGAGGAATTTCTTCTTGGTGAGAGCCTGCCTATTCTTCTAGTAAGAAATACTATTTCTAGAGGCATTAATTATGCTGTCTATTCTAATTCTTGATAATGAAGTCATGTTTTGTGGTTTAACACAGCCCAAGGAATTAGAATGTCTGTCTCATAATTATCTCCACTAACTCCACTTATAGTGGGGCCAGGACATGAACAAGCCTGGGCAGGAAATAAGGCTAGGGGTCTACCTATAGTGATATTTCATTTGTATTTTAACAAATAAGGCTTGCCTGAAGATCAGAGAGTAAAACAGCCTCACTGATCATGATCAGCCTTACAGACCAGGCTAGTAGTGACACACAGCATTAATCGCGGTAACCACACTAATTTGCCTTAGGAACTGGGCAATAGTGGTGCACACCTTTAATCCGAGCATGAGAGAGGAATATAAGACCGGAGGAGACGGCTCCCAGACACAGTCTCATTCTGAGATTCCTGGAGGCAGGATCGCCATTTTCGGACTGAGGTAGAGGAAAGAGCCAGTGGTTGACAGTTTTGCTTTTTTGGTCTTCAGGTTGAACCCCAATATCTCTCTCTGGGTTTTTGCTACATCTATCAGAAAGGGGCTCTGTCACTGCCGGTAGGAACACGGGACTGCTGCTCCAACAACAATGTCACTTCCTAATAAGTGTCAGCCACAGAGGAGCCGCACTGAAGCCCTGCTCTCTTCACAGTTGTCTTTGTGTTCCACTTTGCATTTCCCACATCACAAGGAGATCCGTCTGCTTATTCTAAAGCAACAGCTTTATCAATGTCTGTTTCATATTTGCATTCAAATTCACTGGAACTGATTTTCTTCACCATGTGGCTATCTGGGTTGTGTAGGTAACACGCCTTTCTGGTAAGATCTGTGAGGTTATCCTAAAAGCGACAGCAACAGAATTGTGTCTCGTATTTTGCATATTTTCTCATCAACAAGGAACTGTGAGTTGTTGTTACATTTAATCTCCCCCCCAATGCAATGAAGAATTATGATAATCCTTTGAGAGAGGCCAAATATGCAACTCAGATCTTTCCTATGTGGGGCCTCTTCGAAATGAGCTGTCCAGGATTTTAATTCATTCTGCATGACTTTAAATACCAAGACCATGGAGCACAGACGTGGAACTTGATTCTCAGAATTGCCCATTTGTCTGGTGCCTGCTCTCAGCATGTGATTTCTGAAATGGCCCCCACTGCACATCCCACTGCCACAAACACCAGCCCTAAGCTTGTAGGTTCTAAATAAGGAAAAAAGATGATAAAAGGCAGAGCAAGTTGCAGGAGAGAGGGCTCAGATAATACAGTTACCTTCATAAAGTCCATTCCTCTTTATCCTCCAGATAACTTTTTCAATGATTATGGGGAAGCTAAGAGAATTATATTTTAATATTTTCAGTGAATGTTTGATGTACCTATTGATATTTTCAGTAAATAAAACAGTGAGGAAAAGAGAAACACCCAAACTAAGGTGTTTTTATATATAAGGTGTTTTTAATATATATATTTTTAAACACAGATACTAATGTTGTAAGGGTTGAGTATTTGATTTGTAGAGCACTGGAGAGCTAAGGGAAAGAGGAACGAGAGGAACTCACTACCGAAGTTGAAGTGAGGCAGTGGAGAATCCAGCTTTTATTAAAGTAGCATTTTAACAAGCTTTATTTTGAACATACATTTGTTGAAAGTCTATTTAAAGTTTATCACTGTTCTAAGCCATGGTTAAAGGATATGGTAAAAGAGGCCAATCCAGAAAAATGTGGTATCTATCCCCAACAAAGCTAGCGTCTTTCTTTCCCCCCTCTTCTTCCTTCCTTCCTTCCTTCCTTCCTTCCTTCCTTCCTTCCTTCCTTCCTTCCTTTCTTTCTTTCTTTCTTTCTTTTTTCTTATTCCTTTCTCTCTTTCTTTTCAGAGCTGAGGACCAAACCCAGGGCCTGGTGATTGCTAGAAAAATGCTCGACCACTGACCTGCCCTAAATCCCTGGCCCCCTAAATAGTGTCTTTCTAAAGTTATACACTTCATTAAGATTAAGTAACAGTGACTCCTAGAAAACCCAGGAACTCTCAAGTCAGTTGTTACTGTGGACCCTTACCCAGCCTCTCCCCTCGCCTCTCAAAGGTTCTCCTCTTCACAGTTTTGTCTGACTTCCTAGTGAGATCTCAGAGACTGACCCCTCTAAAGGCAAGCAAGTTGGTTATGTGTGGCATAACTGATGTCAAAGTTTGTTTGAAATCCCCCCCACGATGAGTGAGGAGCAAAAATGAATCTTCTAGAAAACCAATGGTGGTTGTCAAATCCACACATGTCAACTAGAGCCAGAGTGCCTGTGTAGGATGCACAATCCATGACTGCATCCAAAACCTGAGCAGCAAATACTGCAGCTCCCCAGCCATGTTTCTGAACAGACAGCATGGCGTCCTGCCCCTGCTAAGCTCAAGACAGCAAAAAAGGCAAGGTCACCCTCCACACACAGTTGTGGTGGCTAGTCAGGATATGCCCCCTCCTGTGCTCAGGGGTGACAGAGAATGCTTTCGTCTACTGGGACTGAAATCCTGTTCTTTCTGAGTTGGGCCTCTTCACTAAAAAGATGGGCTCAATCCAATAAATAAGGAGGGCTTTGACAGAGGACCATGTTTATAACTTCAGGAGCCAGGCTGCTTTTCCAAGTCAAAATACCACCGCACAAGGAGTGTCTCTGATATCTCACCTTTAAAGTTCAGTTTGGGTCGTGAGCCCATTTTTGTCTGATCTTTAAAACTGGTTTGTAAAACCCTCTTTAGCACTAACTAAAAGATAGCAGCAATACCAGTTAATAGCTCTAATCATTTCACTTACGAGGATTTGTTAAAAGAATTTTTATTTTATGTGTATGAGTGTTTTCCCGCATGCATGTATACACACCACTTGTATGTCCACATTATGGACAGTTGTGATCAGCCGTGTGGGAGCTGGGAACTGAGCCTGGATCCTTTGCAAGGGCAGTCAATGAGCTTAACCACTGAGCTATATCTCTTTAAACTTGAGAGTATTTGTAAATAGCATTTTGCTGTTGCAATTATACTACCCTTAACAAAATAATAGTACACTATCAATGACTATAAGGTAACTAATCAAAAGTCACATTTGCTGCTAAAATAAAGCTAAGGTCAATGTAAAAGAAGCGTGCAGGACTAGCTGTGGGTCACAGCTTTGGGTAAGGCTTTTGGGGACAGGTCTGTAATCTGTCTGGAGTGTTGCGTAAGTCCCACTCATAAACAGAACTATCCTTTCTAAATAGTTTTGCATAATCAGGCTCAGTGACAGAAATACTGAAAGATGCTAGTGAAGATTATGTCTGTCATTACAGTCAGGTGGGAACACTCTTACTTCCCTGCATCTGTAGGGGGGGCAGGCTAGTATGACTAAAATCAGCAGGATGAGCCTTGAGTCGCAGGACCATGGGAAGAGAGAAAGCAGGAGAGGTGGGGTTGAGAGGGAGCGCTGCGATTGGCTCTCTGAAGTTGGCCAGAGATAAAGGGGGAGGCAAGGCGTGCGAAGGCAAGAGAGGAGGACAGGACATGTGGAAGGGTGAGAGGACACCACGCTATCCCAGAAAGATGGCTCTCGCTCGAGAAGAACAGATGTGGAGCTGGGAGTGGAAACAGAATAGCAGGGAAGAGGACTTGCAGAAGGCTGGTTGACCGCACTCTGGTGTCTGGGCCAGAGCCTGTCAGCAGCTTCAGGGAGGTATGGTGGGGTGTGTCTGCTCTGAGGGACTCAGAGTGGGGGAGTCTAGCAGTTCTCTGAGAGTTGTTCTCTTGGTCCTGGTGAGTGGTAAGGAAGTTATGAGACAAGGTGAGGCAGCGAGGCTCCACGGAAAATGGTAGACTTGGGGGACATTTCTGAAACTGGACCGACAAGAGTGGATGATTGCCTGGACCTAAGGGGCCTCTATGGACTCTTTATATGCTTAAAGAAGTCTGACATTATTGGGAAAATTAAAAGTTAAGTGAATTTATATAAAAAAAAACATTGGCCTAAGTTAGTTCAACTCAGGTGAAGAGCTGTTCCAAGGCCAAGTGAATCCTATATAGTTTAAATCTGGATTGAGGGTTGCATTTTAAATCTAGAGTATTGATTGGCCTGATTGGAAATGGCAGCGTGGAAGGAACTCAGAGAACGTAGAAAGGAGAGAAAAGAAGAGGAGAGAGAAGATGAGGGAAGAGGAGGAGAGGAGAGAGGAAGGGAAAGGAGGAGAGGAGAGGAGAGGGGAGAGAAGAGGGGAAGGGAGAGGAGAGAAGAGGGGAGAGGAAAGGAAAAGATATGAGGAGAGAGGAAAGAGAGGTGCACACATGAATCGATAGTAGGGGTCGTGGCATGACAATCTCTGTATAGTGCCCAGTCTGTGATCTTCAGCACATGATGGCCACACTATGCAATGATCAAAATATCACCCATCTTGTATGTTAATTCTGGATAGAGTTCTTCATTAATTTCCCTTTTTCTACTTCTTCAGATGCACACCGCATTAGATTCCTATATTGTCATACCAGTCTTTGAAGGGGAAGATGCCAGCCTTCTACTCAGTGGTTCTCTTGTGGGACAGCACAGCCCCAGTGGACCAGAAGGCTGATCAAAGTCTCTCTGTGGGCTCAAGAGTTCTTGCAATAATGCTTTATTGATGCTTACAGTTTCCCAGGGAAGAGAGAGACAGGAGTGGAGGACTGAGATGTTGCCTCAACTGTACTGATTGAAGACTTCTCTCTCCCCACATGCATTTTTAATTGGCCTCTCAGAAAGTGAGATACCTACCTAAACCACACACTTGCAAGGTATTGTTTGTTTGTTTTGTCTGTTTTTGTTGTTATTTTTGTTTTTTCAAGACAGAGTTTCTCTGTAGCTTTGGAGCCTGTCCTGGAAAGTAGCTCTTGTAGACCAGGCTGACCTCCAACTCACAGAGATCCACCTGCCTCCACCTCCTGAGTGCTGGGATTAAAGGCGTGCGCCACCACTGCCTGGCTACACTTGCAATTTTTAGCACATTTCTGAAACTACAGAAAATGACGCTGCAAATAACATTGACAATTTAGAACCTGAGAACTTAGTGCTTTCTTTGAGAATTGGGGACCCTAGCTAATTAGAAGTAGTTATTTCTATATATGTATCTCCTTCTGAGTAACATGTTTGAAGGACTTAGCACCAATTTCCCCATAATAAAAATGAGAACCTGTTTTCTTTTGTATATGAAAACCTTGAATTTATATATAAAGTTTTATTTTGTTAGGATATGTATGCATATGTATATAATTTGGGGGAGGTCTCTAATTGTTCTATTTTATGAAGTTTAATATAAAATCATGTTGATGGACAGACTTTAAAGTTTACAAATAACTTGAACTAGTAATACATAAATCTTTATTTTTTTCCTGACATAGAATTGCACTGCCTAAAATCATAGATAAAATGTGTGAATTTGTAACTTATAATTTCTATTTTTAAAATATTTCAGTAAAAAGTCAAAGGAAAATACAAGAGTAACCTGGAGGTCTTATTTTAAAGATGAAGAATGTAAAATGAAAGTATCTTGGTGGTCAGGTTCTCAAGTCACAGATCTAGATGGAAACTCTGACCAAGGTACATGTGTAATCTTGGGCTGCCTAATTAGTCTTGTTGCATTGGCTTCCTCATTTAATAAATAGGGGAAAGAAATGCCCCTTTCCTTACTGAAACAAAGCAACTTACCAACAGTGGTAGGCCATGCACTAGTGATTATTGACAACACACTGAAATATTACGATTGATGGGAAACAAAAGCAAACACTGTTTTTCAGATATTTGAGGAACGAAAAAGGCAAGCATACAGAGCTCCCTAAAGGTGACATGAACCATGGGAAACATCCCGTGTGGGTGGTGGCAATGTTTGGAGATGATGTCAATTGAATATGATTGACCATTGAGAGCAGTTGTCAGCCAAAACCAAACCAAACTTGTGGCCCCATTCCTTTAATAACTAAAGTTGAACTCCAGGCCTCAGTCAACCTGAGCACAGAGTAGGGGCTCAATTAATTCTTGCCCAGCTGAAATGGGTGTGCACGCGAGACAAAACACAATAAAATCCTTGGAGTTCAATGCAGCAGCATGGAAGGATGGACGATGGGAGAAGCCAACTCTATGGCAGGAGCGCGGTGGTTATGGCCCAGCCCCACACAGCCTGGGATGGGCATGACGGCAATAAGTGGATTTGCAGCTTTCGACTTCACACCTTTCGTCTAGCATCGAAGATGAAAGTCAAGCAGAAGGGGGTGGACAGAACCCAAAATGTAAAATATCCAAACCAGCCCTACTTGGTTGAAAGCTAATTGTTACAGTTATTATTTCCTGGGCATTTTTCTGCGGTGAGACTGTAAGTACAAGGTCTTTTATGATGTTGGTTTGGGCCCCAAACAACAGACCGTGCGTGCCTGTGATCGTTCCTAAATCACAAGCAGCTGCCGTAAGGAAGCAATTAATGGGCTCTAACACTCGAGGAAAAATCAAGAAAAAAAAAATCAAACATTACAAGAGTAAGACTGGTGTAGCTCCATGGCGTCAAGGGCTTGTGTGACAGTGAGACTCGGGGCCATTTTCTCTGGCTTGCTTTTCTCAATCAGTACATGGACATGACTGTTCTTGTCAATCAAACCCAAGATCCCCCTCCTCCCAGGATTGGTCTATGCCTCTCAATGCTTTAAGACTGTGCAAATGCCCCTGATTTTGAAGGTGACTCCCTGACCCCTGCACCCTCTTTTCAAAAGGTTAAATAAAATGGACTCCATGGTGAAAGGTTTGGAATTCCAAACACTGATTCTGTGGAAAGTAGAGGCTTGCTCCAGCTACTACAGAGTTCCCACAATTTTCCATCTAGAATAAGCTCTCCTGCGATACTCTCATTGTGTTCAGTAGGATGCAAGTAGATCCAAAATACAAATTCAAATGGATTCAGATACAGTTATCTCTTATAGTTTTTCGTTAGCATACAAAGTAATGGGTTTCGTTATATAGCATTTCACATACCTACCTATATAGCATTGTATCTTATTCGTTTGCCTGCCCGTTGTTCTTCCCAGACACACATCTCTGTCGGTCTGCTGCCACCCTCTCTACATTCATTGTCTCCCTCTCTCCCTCTCTTTCTTCATCCCTGTCTCTATCTGTGTGTGCATGTGTGTGTGTGTGTGTGTGTGTGTGTGTGTGTGTGTGGTTAAATCTGGATTCTGTAGAGTACACTTTCCTCTCAGCCCTGGGTTTAATTTATAACCACCTATTTCAACATGTTTCCTAATAGTCTGTCCAAACATCATCTTTGCTCAAGTGATTTAAACCTTGTTTGTATGTCATCTGACTTCTTTTGCTTCATTTGTCAAAATTGCATGAAGCAACAGAGATTTTATGAAATGCAACCAAGCGCAGCGCAAGGGTGAGGGCCAAGTAGATAGAAGAATGAAAAACAACCCTCCCAAATTAAAAATGACTTAAAAAATTAAAAATACCAACAACAGTCAGGTGGGGCTGGGAGCCTGACTCTCAAGTCTTGGCTATGATTCTTGATTGACTTCCAATGTAAGTAGGAGCTCCCTCACAATGGCTGATGGCCAATAGGACCACAAAGCTTTTTGTGTGAGTGCTGACTCCCAGAGTTTCGTACTTAGACTCTTCATTCTCATCACGATTCTCTCTAGGGACAGGATGGAAACCATCACACCTACCGACATGCTCACCTCTGCCCTGACCTGGTCCTAGCCATCCCTCTCCTCACTTGTCACTTCCAACCGTGGGACCACCCCATCCCCTGGGTTCTCCTCCACCATCTTCAGGAGCACAAACGTTCCCTTTCTGGAAGCCAGGGGGAGGACACATGGCCTTTGCCCACTATCAGCTCCTGCTCATGTCCTATCTCCTTCCTTCCTGTGTCCATCAGCTTCCCTAAAGAACAGATTAGTCACACAAAGACGGGAAATTAGATTTAAGGAAAAAGGAAAGGTAGTAAGAAGTCATGTTTTTACATCTGGGCTCCAAAAAAAACAAAGGAACGCGAGTTAGAGACCACGCTGTTCCTTGCGGGGAGGGCAATTCTTTTCATTGAGAGAAGAAACCTGAGCCATGGAAGGGAAGCCCCTGAGCCCTGGGAGGGGGGATATCCTGGGCTAAACTAATGTAAATAAACTGAAGCCCAGGGGAGGAAGGGTTGACAAGACCCATCAGTGTTCACATCACCGAAATTTGTACTTAAAACTTGCCTTCTCACCGTGCTCCCGCCACCGGCTATCAGATACCCTCTCAAGGCTCCAGCCATTACCCGCCTTCCGCCCTCAGCCTTTCTCCAAGCTGCAGCCCTGCATCTTCAACTGCTCACCAGATGTCTGAGCCAAAACAGACCATCGCCGGCTCAGATTCCACTTTCCCAAACCAAGTCTCTCGGTGTCGGCTGCTGTGAGACCAATGTGATTCCTGGCTTTCCTATTTTTGTTAAGCACAGTACTCAGCTATGACCCTAAAATTCTGGGTTTGTGTCTGGCAGGGTAAACTAAACTCAAAGCTCAGTCCTACAGATTTCACTTATACAGCTTCTCTTGAGTCTGCCCCATCTTTCTGTGTTGGTTGTTAGTATTCTGTTCCTGAATAACCAGAACAGTCAATTACACAAGCTTCCCTGACCTTGACCCACATACTGTGGTCAGATCAGTATTTCTATCTGGACATAATGATTCACAATGATAGTCTCAGCAATTTGGAAGGATGAGACAGAAGGATGAGTGGAGCCAAGGAGTTTGGGGACAGCCTGGGCAACATAGTGAGATGATACATTCTTCTGCTCATATCATCCTCAGCTCAAAAAATTTCAGGGGCCTGTTTCCCAGCATATAATGGCAAACTCTAGGAAATAACCCTTAGAAGTTACAAAAACCATCAGGCAAAGTCTCCTGCACACCAGATTAATTCCTTTGGGCCACCAACCAACCAAGCATTGTGCAAACTAGGAAAGATGCCACCATTTAAAATTGACTTTTATAAAAACTGAACCAGCTCTGCCACAGAAGGTAGGACAAACATTTAACTTCTCAGGTAGTAATTAGACCAATTCAGAATGTGGGATGTTCTAGAGAAAGCCCAAACACTCTAGAGCAAAGTGATGTCACCGGGCAAAGAAAAGGACAGAGATACCACTAGAGAGTAAGAGACACTAAGCATTGAAAACCAACAATAATTGAGTCCCAAGTGCAGACAGCTTTATAAAGATTGAGGAGATTTAGATTTGCCCTGGGCATTGATTTTATCAGAAAATGTCACTGAGATGATGGCTATTAAATGGCCCATCACAGACTCACATCAGGGCATGCGGATGAAACAAGCTCTGGGCATCACTTTAAAGCATGCTGCAAAAATACCATGCATTTAGCAGATTGGAGACTCTGGCTTCATGTCCTGGCATAAAATCATAGCAATTAATAAAAGGAAGAGATTCATTAGCTAAGGTATTTCTTAAAATGGGCAATGAGTGTAAGAACCTTGCCTAAACGTCTGAGACTATATGAAAATTTCTGCATGCAATTATATACTTTAAATTTTTTGTTTGTTTCAGCCTATGCTCAGCTGCAACTTGTGACCCTCCTGCTTCAACCTTCCAACCACTGAGTTACAGGTTTGTGCCATGATCCTCAGTCAAAACATCCTTTTTAAGACCCATTCAGATTCCTACCACAAGAAATGTGAACTCCTGGCCAGAAATCTTAAGACACATCCATGATAACCTGTTGTTAATTCTCCCTATAACTTGCTTCACTTGCCCCTGTTCCCTGTAAGGATCCTCCCCCAGCCATTCCTGAGCACCACCTGCTCTCTGAGTCTCTGAATCTTTGCTCAAGTCACTATCTCTGCAGAATCAGCTGTTATTATTTTGTTAGGCAGTGCTGCAGCACACCATTGCTAAAAGTGATGGTGATCTGGGTACCTGAGCTGTGAAACTGGTTGGGAAAAGGTAAATGTATAATCTTGAGTTTCTGAAAGATAAATGCTTTTCCTTGTAGTAAAGTCCCATCCAACACACACACACACACACACACACACACACACACACACACACACACCCCTACACCCCTACTCTTATCTTCTTCTTTCCTGAGTTTATCCAACTCTCCCTTGGACGTTTTCTTTAACAATTCCTAAGCCCTTAAGCACTTGTGTGTCTTTTATCACAGCTGACTAACTGCTGGGACTAAGGCTTGTGTCTCCCTGAACTGGCAGGGCCCTTGATGGCAGGAGAAGTATATGGAAAGTCTAACTCACACTGACTTTGGTGAGCTGTATCTACCAGCACATGGCCTTTGGCAAGTTAGTTAGCATGACAGAGCTTCAGTTTCTGTAAAATGGATAAAAGGTAATTACCACCTATGAACTTTATCCATGAAAAACAATGGCTGACCGTACCCTGTCTAAAGTGGACAAGCAGTACACAAAAAAAAGGTAACAGCTGAACTTTACCAAGACAAGGTAGGACAGCCCTTCAAAATTTCCTGTTTCTGAAAAAAGTCTGTCAGATATTCTAGGCCTGTAAGCCAAAGATGGATGCCCCAATATTACAGAAGAATCTAGAGTGACTGTTCAGACAACCTAATGTCCCTGTCGTTAGATAACATTTCAGCCTCCTAGGGTCTTTGATGGAGTTGAAGACTAGATAGTTATAATTATAGTTTTCCTTAGTTATGACAAAAGCTAAATTAGGTACAAAAGTTTAGACCCACAAACATAAGATAGATGTTAACATAACATAAACATAAGATAGATAAGATAAGATAGACATATAGAAAATACAGTATTTTCTCTAATTTGTCAAATACAAATGGATTGGATATTGTTACTATAATTCTTAATAACTGTTTTGTTGCATATAATTTTATCATGTTAAAGTTAAAACTTTTTTAATTAGACAAAAAAAGAAAAAGAAAATATTCAATGGATGTGTTAGCAGGTTTCATGAAACAGAAGTTTGACCTTATTAGAGCCTAAATTAGCATTTCACAAACAGCCTGGCTGTAATCAAGCAGCCCCAACAACCTCTGTGTCCTATCTATTCCCACTGGCTGTTTCTGAAGATCCACGTGAGTTTTCCACATAAGTTCATAAATTTGAGTGTGTGTTCACAATGCAAAAGCTGTGCCTTTTAGGGACGACTCCAGTTTCTCATCTGTTGATTCATAACAATAGCTCAGAAAAATCGAGACTAATAGAAATCACAGCAAAGAGACCTTGCTTGACTGCTGGGGGAACAAAATGAAGCCTGCTGAGTATGAGTTTTGTTTTTTTGTTTTTCCCTCATGGCTCTCATAAAGAAAACACTGGCAGGTATTTTAGGCCCTCGCCCTCTTTTCCCTGTGACTCTGCATTTCCGTCTTTTTATTCAGCCCATACTTTCACTATCAACTCGCTCCTGGAACTATGCCACACACACCTGTGGATGCTAATCACACTGCCTCCCCGGGAACCAGCGGCAATGCCCCACATAGCTGACCACTTGGCTTAGCTTCCTTGGCGATCTTTCATCTGGGTCTTCTGCCTCATGGAGATTTCTTGATATCCTTCCCTCTATCCACTTGTTGGAATTTTTAACTAATCCCTTCTTCTCCACAGACTTCTCTTCTCTATGAATCTCATTCAATTCCAATGTCGCCTCTTACCTGCCCAGTCTGTCCCTAAGTTATCCTATTGCCTAATCTACATCTTCTGTGTTCATTATCCTGATCTCAGATCACTTGGTCCATCACCAAAACCTGGTCAGTTTT